TTTTTTTTCTTGAGACAGGGTCTCACTAGGTAGCCCAGGCTGGCCTCGAATTTGCAACAATCCTCCTGCCTCAGGCTCCGGAGTGCTGGTATAACAGGCAAGCACCACCACGCCTGGCTCATAAACACTTCCCCTGGCAGTCTTGGCAATGTACCTGTCAAATCATATTGCTCCTCCTTCCCCAAATGCTTTTTTGCTCAAAGCAACCTGTCCTTTTCTCTACTACTCCGAATATGGTCCATTCACAGATTTATTATGCACAGAATCTCAGGAGGGCAATGTAATCAGAAAACCTTGGAATTTACATAATGTAACTTCCTCATTTCACAGACAGGAAAACACAAGATGGAGTGAAGAGTGCAATCCAAGGACTCCCCTCTCTGAAACAGTAACTCTTTTCTTATCCTGATTTTAGAACTATTGTTCTCTCTATGCAATTTAGAAAAAGGTAAGGTCCATTCTGCCTAGGCCTCATGGCCATAAAATATGTATACCCAGAATGATCTCCCAAAGATATGAATTTACAAATTTTCAGTTCCTTGAGCCTTTGCGCATCCATTTTTTTTTTTCTGATGGTACTGATTCAGTTTCCATCTCCATGGAGGGCCTTCTGACCCTGTGTACACTCCCGGAGCTGACTTCTCAGCGAATGGTAACCCCATACTCGCCCAGCAGCATTATACTTATTTGGCCTATCAAACACAACCTATCATAAGTCAAATTAACATTTATGAGGTAGCCTCAAACACACAGTTGTGTTAAAAACAGGTCATAATAAGGCACTTCTTGGTATACCACAAATTTCATACAATTTTTGTTAGAGAGCAATACATAATTATCTAAAAAAATTACTAACTGTTTATTCTTTGACTCAATAAACCCACTTCTGGGAATTTGCCTTAGACATATACCTGCACATAAGCAAGGTTATTTATCACGGTATTATTTGAATTATCAGAAAATAAGCCCAATTTTTGAAAGAGCAATTCTTGAGCTGGGCATGGCACTACATACCTGTAGTCCCAGCACTTGGGAGGCTGAGGCAAAAGGATTGCCACTGGTTCAAAGCCAGCCTCAGGTACACAGTGAGTTCAAAGCCAGCCTGGACTACATAGTGAGTCTCAAACAAAAAAAAGTTCTTTACGCAGATACATAAGGTAAAAAATTAAGGAGCACAACTCTGGTCAGAAAAATGCTATTTTCTGTCAGAATAGGGAGAATAATAGAAAACTGCATTTATATTTCCTAGGATACATGAAGAAGTCTGGAAAGATACAAAAGAAACCAATAAATGTAATTATATACCTTGTAAGAGTAAACTAGGGACTCTCGATAATAGATTACTTTTAGTTCTTTTGTGTCTTACTTGCCCTACTAGGATAAACATGACAGTTCTAGAATTGATACATGCAAAGCTAAATGTGTTCACTTATTATTTTTATCATACATTGTCTTTTATTTTGTGCTAGTGGGGTTTGAACCCAAGGCCTTTGTACCTATATCTCCAGCCCTTTCTATACAATTTTATTTATTTACTTACTTAGTTTTGTTTTTCTGGAATAGGTTCCTACTACGTAGTTCAGGCTGACCCTGAACTCATTATGCAGCCCAGGCTGTCCTCAAACTTGCAGCAATCCTCCTGCCTTGACCTACTGAATGCTGGGATTACAGCTGTGCACCACCATACCCAGCTTTCGTGGTGCTGGGGATTGAACCCAGAGCCTTATGTATGTAAGGCAGGAGCTCTACTACTGAGCTGTATCTCCAGCCCTCTACTATTTTTTTTGAGACACTGTCTTAGTACATTGGTAAATTATCCAGGTTAGGCTCAAATGTGCCATCTTCCTGCCTCAGCCTCTCAGGGTACTGTACTCACAGGCATATGCCACCATGCATGACTCTTATTGTACTTTTTAAAAACTGTATATTTTTTTAAGAGTTGAAATCAGGTTCAAGGTTTGCCATTTAGTAATAGTAAAAATATCATTTTCAATAAAAATATGAGTCAAGTTACTTGGTGATTCTGGAGAACATGTCTGACATTAAGATTGTTAAGAAAGTACAGTGCTGAGATACGTAGTTTTTACTCTTATGAAAAGACAGTTCCTCATAAGAAATGGGTCAAATACACACAGCTCTCCTATATTTGGAAAATAATGTGGTTTGTGAAAATTACTAAAAGTTTACATAGATGGGAGAAATAAAAGAAGAGAAACACACAGACACACATGACTGTGAGGAGTTTGTGTCAATAAATAACTTATTACTCAAACATAATGTACCAGGAAGCAACTCCTAATATATAAAAATCCAAGTAAGCTCAAAATGTTACCAAATAAACTATGATGAGACAAAAAAAATCACTAATACAAATGCAAAGTTTACACTAACAAATTCCAATGTTTGGGAAAGCAATACGGAATAACGGAAAGAGTAATCTTCTGCTCTAATTATAAGTGTGAACCAATCACGTAAGATTTACTAACCTATTCTCCCTAATCTCTGTTCATTAGTGGAAAAGGAGAAGAAAACCATCTCTCTCCTTCGACGTAGGTACGCTAAGTAGTATCTAAGAAATGCAGGCCCGTGAAAGGCACTCTGCATAACCTCAAACTTCAGAGTAAAGCCACCTAATGTTCTAAGGGTTTTTATTTTCTTCCATCTTAGTAAATGTTCCTTCTACTAGTTGGTTTAACAATGAATAATAAAAGTTGCTTTTTAGGCATTGTTCCTTAGGATTCCTCAAAAAAAAAAAACTATAAAAGTAAAATGTTTAAAGCAAGAACACATCTGGGAAATAAAAATATTCAAAAATAAACTATTTTACGAATGTATTAAAATATTCTATGTAAATCTGTTTTAGAATAAATAGCAAAGACACAATGTCGATTACTTACTAAAATGCAAGAACAGTCAGAAAGAAACATTAACTAGTCTACACGTCAAAGGCTAGCTACTCTTTACACTAAGGATTAGGGTATAAAGCTTACCAGGAAAAGAAGACCAGCTGTGCAGTATTATGTCTCCAGATCTCAATTGTCCTTTAAAGTCAAAAACCATGGTATTTACCCAGGCTACAGGATAATGCTGTTGAAAAAGACACCAATGTTAGTTCAATGTTAGTTCTAGAAATTAAAAAAAAACCACCAAAGCAAGATGTGAAAAAATGTTGCCCATCTTTATAATAGTTAAGGAAAACACTAGAAGTCAATACATCACAATAAAACAATACATTCATATAACAGAATATTTGCTGGATAGCCTTTGAAAATGAGAAGGAATTTTTAACATTTCAAGGAAATGTGATATACTATGGAAAAAGGTTGTCAGAGCCTTCAGGAGGCAATGTCTCTATTTAATTAAATAGAATTTTATTAAATCTCTAAAAGAGAGCCATTGAGTTATTAGGACTTTTATGTAGATATTTTAACAGATTGATGTGGCCACACTATATTTACAAAGTTATAAATATTCAAATGTGAGAAATAATTCTGTATCAGCTTAGAAAAACCACTGAAGAACAAACTGTTCAGTGACTTTTTTAGTCATTACAACTTTTAGAAGAATACACGATAACCAGAGGAAACGCTCATGTTCCCATGGAACAAAAGACACAAATTTGTATAGATAAATTCAGTAACGAGGTTTTAAAAATGGAAGAGTCATGTATTCACACTCCCCCCAAATTACTGAAAAAGAGAAAAAAACTCGACTAAAAAATATGAAATAAAAAGTTAAAATGTGACAAAAGAGCCACCACTCTTTTATCAAGTATTTATTTCAAAATTCAAGAGGCTCTGAAAAGGTCTGCTCGTCAGTAATGTGACAGCAAAACATGAGCAGATGACAGGAAGCAAGCGCAAGTCTTCATCCACCACAGTCAGTACGAATATTCATACACTCCACACCAAACACTGATGTGTCTGACTATATATCTGTGCCCTAGAATCGACAAGACATGTTGAATGAGATACAATCTATGCTTGCCTGCCTGCCTGCCTGCCTGCCTTCCTTCCTTCCTTCCTTCCTTCCTTCCTTCCTTCCTTCCTTTCTTTTTTTGGTCTTTTTGAGACAGGGTCTCACGGTGAAGTTCAGGCTGGTCTTGAGCTCACTTTGTAGCCCAGGCTGGTCTCAAACTCACAAAGATCCTTCTGCCTCAGCCTTCCACGCTGGGATTACAGGCATGCGCCACCATGTCCAGTTTTGCTCTTTCTAAAATACATAAAATTTTGAATTCTCAAACAAATCTGGTACCTGGGATTTCAGAGAAGAAACTGTAGCCAAGTATGGTGGCACGTGCCTGTAAACCCAGCACTGAGTTAGAGACCAACCTGAACTGCGACCCTGTCTCAAAAACAAAACAGCAAATAAACAAACAAAAGCCAACTGTGGACCCGTTATTTTAAGATGCCTTCATTTTTTTACCTGTATATAAAAAGTATTACATTGTAACAGAATACTTATATTAAAAATATGAATGAATAAGACACAGAAACGGAAATTGTCCTCTTGAAATCAGTTCTTAGGGACCAAGGTTTCAAAACAAATTACTCAACTACTTCAAACAGTCTTGAAATCATTTATTTCTATAGCATTTTTTAGAAATTAGTATACATTACCACTTTTCCAGCTTTCCTGATGGTCTGATATTTAGAGGGATTAATAGTTTTGGTTGATTTCTTCGTTTTTACTTTATCCAGAACAGCATAAACAGCAAAGCATAATCGAGCCATTCTTGGCAAGTCACAAGTATTAATATCAAATTCCAGTGTTTCGTTCCAAATATGATCATTTTTCCCTGATATCTCTGAGCTTATGACAGTTTTACACAGGAGCTCAGTACCGTGAAAAAGACCAGCCCTGACGTGGACCTGTGACGGAGGAGAGGAGAACAGAATGATAAATACTGTACACCACTGAGACATCTCTGCTTCAGAGAAAGACAAAGTACACAGTGAGAGAACAAGCACACCAGCTTTCGCAAAGCCTGTGTGTCCACAAGAGCCACCAGGCTGTAATTACTCGGCACGCTGTTCACTAAACTATGATTAGTTTATCCTGTTTTTCACTTCGTGCAGAGGCCAGCTACAAAATCACCTATTTGCTTAAATGCCAGCGACATCTTCTAGTTTAAACAGGGCTGAAGAAACCAACACAAGTCATAAAAAGCACCCAGGCGCGGCGGTGCACACCTGTGATCCCAGCACTTAGGAGGTGGAGGGAAGAGGAGCCCTGCAAGTTCCAGGCCAGCCTGGACTACAGTGAATTTAAGGCCAGCCTGAAGCACATGGCAAGACCCCGTGTCTCAAAAAACCAACAAAACAATCCCCCAAAAACTACTAGCAGAGGGTTAGCCTCATTGATTTCATTTAACTGGAGCTTTGTCTTACTCTACAGGATAGTTGTAAATAAAAACCTGATGGATGAGGAGGCTCTAAAGTTTCTTTCCACTTCTAAATAATTTGTGACTCTGTCCTGATAAGACATTCTGTCCCTATTTGGTTACTCATATTTATGATCACTCTCTTTCATTTTTATTTTAAAGGTCCACACCCAGGATAATGCAGGGCATGTATACAATATCTCAGAAAAAAACTTCACTCAGTCATCTGTATAGCTTTTTTAAGTGACCTAATTATCACTAATTTAAAAGTGAGCACCAAAAGTAGAACTAAGAACAGGACAACTGTAAAATACAGAGACTGACCCAATGATATACTTTTAAGATCAAAGTTTTTTATAACCATTTATTCAGATGACACTAGCATGCACCATTAACAAATATTTACAGAACAAATGACTACATGTGTGCAATTATTTAGGCGGTCATTCTATTCTTCTCTGGGACAGGGTCTTGCTAAGTAGTGCAGGCTGGCCTTGAGCACACTGTGTACCCCTGAGGCTGCTCTCAAACTTGAAGTGATCCTCCCTGCTAAGTCTCCCAGGGCTGGGGTTATGTGAACGGCACCAGCATCTACTTAGCACTTTGTCTCCTTCAACCCATCACGACATCTGCACAATGGGAAAACAGATTTATGATGTGATCTTAAATGAAGAATGTCCTAACTCAAAATACTATTAAATGCATATTTACTTTGTGACCATGTGAAGGAAAAATATTAACAAAATTAATTTTATTAGGATGACAGAAGTACTGGTGTCATTCCTTCAATAACCTTTGATTTTGTTATCTTAAAAATATTCTAAATATTCTAACAAGTATGATAAAATGGCAGAATGCTCTAAGTTTGAGACCATATATATAGAAAATGTCAAAATGTCCTCAGTCAATCCAAAACGTAAGAAATTTAATGAAAGCATGAATCAAAACAGAACTGATTTTCTGGTGTTATTTTAAAAACAACCTTTCAGGAATAGCTTATTTGTGTACTGTTTCAGTAAAACTGTAGAAGGCCTTAAAAAAAAAACCACCAGAAACACCTTTTAGGTTTTTCTCCGTGTTACCAGTATAAGTACCTACCTATGGCGTAAAGTAACCTTTATTTAAGTCTGTATTTCTTTAAACTAGCTTAAGTGGTATTTCTCTGTGTTCTCAGCAATAATTCAAAAAAATGTCAGACTTTCAGTTTTAGTTTGTAAAGACTGTAAAGAGCACTCTCTGAACTTTACAGAGACGTACACAACACTTTTAGGAAACCTTTACATCTACCTCATATATTACTTTCAAATTATTTAAATACGGGAAACTGACAATTAGCATTTTTAACAGCCAAATTGACTTTGAGACAGAGTCTTGCTATGCTGCCTAGGCTGGATTGAAGTGTCTGACTCAAGTGATCCTCTTTCTTCAGCCTCCTGAGTAGATGGCATACAAACATATGCCACCACACTAGCTAAAAGAGGCCACTTTAACACATATACTTCATTACTCACTCTCCTAATGGCTTTATTCTCTAGATCAAAATTAGTTGCTTGCAAAACCCACAGAACATTATTTTCTCCAAAGCAAGTAGACACAGCTAATCATCAAAGTTTCTGTCATATTTAGAGAAATATTTAAGAATAAAATGTCACTGCATTAAGTCTACTTTTTATTTATTTTTGTTTTTAGTCTTATTGAGACAGAGTTTTGCTATGCAGTTCAGGCTAGCCTTGAACTCACTTTTGTAACCCAGGCTGGCCTCGAGCTGGCAGTGATCCTCCTGTCTCAGCCTCCTGAGTGATGGGATGACAAGTGTGCACTACCATGCCCAGCAAGGTTTACTTTTTTAAAACACTAGAATAAATGGACCTACTTCAGAAAGCTGTTGTGATGCTTAAATGAAATAAGACACATAAAACTTTAAGCACAGTGGCTGACCAACTGTATTCAAGATGGTAGTAAATGGTACTTAATGTCAGTAAAATTGTAACACAGGAGGAAAGAACACAGAATGCTCCAGTTGCTGTCCCAGATACACAGGGTTTCCTAATAACAAGAAGACAAGCACACAGCAGAGAGGAATTCACCTTTATCAGTGTTACAGAGGCCCTATCACTCTGATACCAAATGTTATTTTCTTTTTGTTTTGTTTTGCTTGGTTTGGTTTTTTTGAGACGGGATCTCACTACATAGTTCAGGCTGGCTTTGAACTCAGGATACAGCCCAGGCCAGCCTCGAACTCATGGCAATCTTCCTGCTAGGGTGACAGTACTAGGATTACAGGTGTGTACCACCATGCCTGGCAAAACATTATTTTAAAAGGAGTTCAACAGCAGAGAAGGAAAACAGAGGTGCTTACTGCAGGGGCAAAGACAAGCCCTCCTGGCATTCCCTGAGAAAGAGAAACAGGGTAGTACAGCTAGAGGCACCTGAGGGATGTGGAAATAACTAGACTGTCTTGAAGGACCAGGCAGCGAAGTCAGTGCCATTACACACTATTAAGTAGGAATGTAACTGAACCACTAAAAACACCACTTTGTGCTCAGGTTAGAGAAATACTTGGGTATAAAGTAGGGTGTGCATCTAGAGGCAAGAAGGGTGCAGGCAGGCTGTGGCTGGGATTTGCGGGGAAAGTAACCTATGGCAGGTTTAGGGAAGACAGAGAGAAAAGAACAGCGAGCATAAGATACTATGTGGTGTGCTCAACAGGACCAGCTCCTTAGATACGGCAAGGCCTTGGGTAACTCTAGCTCTGTCTTAGTCATCTTGACACTGAGACACAACCTGCGGCATGCGTAACTTAAAGGAGAGGTTTACTTTGGATAGTGTTTTTAGTCCACAGCTGGTTGGACCCAAGGGAGGAAGGCACGGTGGAAGGGTCACAGCAGCCCAGGAGCACAGAGCAAAGCCAGGGGCCGAGGGAGAGGAACCTTCCAGACACACAGAACGCTCCTAGGCACACTTCCTAGCACCAAGCCAGCTGTAGAGGCCCCTGTAATTCAGTCACCTCTGAGCACCTGAGGCCTGAGAGGCGTCCAGATATAAACCACAGCAGGCGCCTCTGCCCAAGCAAGAAGACGTGTAGCCAAAGGGGAAGGGAGGAGCTGGGAGCACTGAATGTGAACCGGCTTCAGAAATGTGTACCTAGTGACAGAAAACAGCAACCTGGAGCTAAGCAGCACCTGGTTTAAAGAAAACGACTGGGAAACATAACAAAGAGGTCCAGGTTTTCCAGCTCCTTAGGAGGAAAACATCTGTAATTGCTCTCTTAGAGCTGGAGAACGTCCAGTGAAGAGACAAGCACTGACTGGTGCTGAGCAGGCTCCACGCGCCTCACACTCATCCTGCTTCTCAACTCCCAGCCTCACGCTGCTGTCCCTCGGCACAGTCGCACCCCGAGCTCTACTTCCTCACGCCCTGCACTCCAGATCACCATTCTCACACCTCACTCTCACTGCCTCGTCTCTCGACTCACTCCGCAGGAAGGCCTGTCCCGAGGAAGGCTTCCGTTCAGGAAGCGGCCCCCGGCCCCCCACCTCCCTGCCGGCCTTGGTTCCCTCCCTCTCACCAGAACTCTCACCACGTGCCCATCTCTCCTGTCGCACTGACCTCAGTCCACACTCTGGGTAACCCTAATGACCACGACTGACCGACTGCAAAGGTCAAATCATTATTTCACCCCTGGAAGAGCCATTTCTTATGCTTCACTGACTGATAAAAACTTTTTACTGTCATGTTTTCTGTACTGACTGACAACAGTGTTTTAGAAGGGTTGGAGTATTTTTTCTTAAAAAGCTTTCAAAAAATAAATAATAAATAAAAGTTTTCAAGAGTTTAATTTATTCTAAAATCAAAGTAATAAACCACTTTCTGTGGGGAGGGCTTTTTACTGCTACTTATTTTCTTGTGAAATAATTAGCACACCTCATATTCAATAAAACTACAAAACCTGAAGCATCCTTCTCCTGGGGCTTCTACATATACATGTTTATTTACTTGGCCCTTACCGGGGACTGAAGGCAGGCAAGTGCTTTACCACTGAGCTACACCCTCAAGCCCTACAAGCGTCACTATTCTATTACCCGAAGATGCCTGGGTGACATGATAAGATATCGCCTGTCAATCTACTCTGTGCAAAAGCTACAAAACGTGACAACAGCCAGGCGTGGTGGCACACATCTGCAATCCCAGCGCTCGGGGAGCTGAGGCAGGAGGATCGCTGAGAGTTCGAGACCAGACCGGGCTACAAAGTGAGCTCAAGGCCAGCCTGAACTGCATAGCGAGACCCTGTCTCAAGAAGATGGAAAAAAAAAATACTATTTCACTATTCACTGTTATCTGTAAAGAGAACAGGTCATTCAGAAGACCAAATTACAAAATTCAAAAACTGACGATCAAATTATGTACCCAATAAAAAAATCAGAATAAAATACTTAGCAAGCAGTTACACCGTTGTTACCAACAGTGAAGGAACGTGGACCAGGGCGT